CATGTTTTGACATAGCCTTGACATAAAATGTTGGCCCCATTTTCTGCATTTTGTAGGTTTTATTCGCATTTTCGCAGTATCGAGGTTTTCACTCCCAAAAATATTTTTATAAAATCGTTAAAATATTGTGAAAATAAATAAAAAGTCAAACATTCGATTAGCATTTCGTAATATTAAATATCAATAAAAATTTTCAAATTGATTTGAAAATTTATTACTCGTGTTATTGAACCCTTTGATTTAATTTCTCCAAAGTTTGTCGACCTGCCATAAATTACGCGCTAAAATAAAGCCAATAAAAAAACTGAGCTTCCTTATTTCTCCCAAAATAAATGTCTGATAAAATTTAGGTCAAGTTCTTCTTATTCGCCAAAAAAAAAAAAAAAAAAAAAAAATGGCAATGCCACCTAGTTTCAGTCACAAAAAAATCATTCAACCCTAGTCATTCAAGTGGAATCCTTTTATTGACACACTAACCCCCTCCCGACCATTCAAATCAATTAAATTTCAATTGAATTGTGGTTGCCTAATATGTTGGAAATTCTGGTGTGAGGTAAGACCCTGAAATCGTTCAAAAATTATTAATTTAAAAAATATCGCGTGTACAACTGTCATTTATAAATCATCAAAGCATTTGATGATTTATGGCCTGCATATTGGTGGTGTTTTTTAGGTCTTTGTTAATGTTCATCCTTAAATTGTTCTATTTAACTATATTGCGTTTTACATTCGTTTATTTAGAAAACTATTAAACAAAATGTGATTGTTTAATAAAAATGCAGGGTAAGGGTCAACATTCTCAGACATTTTTGTTATCTGGTCAAGGCATCAAGTAGTGGTGGTGAATGTCCGATATTTTAGCTTTATATCTGAGGAGAGTTGAATGTTTTCGAATTTCCGGTTTTGTAATTTTTTAAGCAACAAATAAATTTCGAATATTACGACAATTATTGACATTGTTTTAATGACTGATTAAATGGGGAGTTATTTAAATTATTTTTGAAAGTGAAAGTCGATTAAATTCGTTCAATATAAAATATCTGCGACATATCTATAGATATAAAAGGGTTTACAACAAGAGAGGAGTATTTGCGGTGTTTTGAATTATTTGGGGTTTTAGGCTTCTTTTGTTGATCGGGGCTTTGAAATCCATGAACAAGATCTGAATTTCATATTGACTGCTTAGATCCATTTTCACTTCATCTTAACCCATGAGTTATTTTTGAAAATTCTTTGGAAGTGAACAAAGAGAAAATTCGGTACATTATATAGTTTTTCTTTGACAAAGGCGAAAATGCAAGCCAAGCGGCTAAACAGCGAATTATGTGCAATTTTGGTTTCGTAGATTCCGTTCGGGAATTTTTGATGTTAAAGATGCACCTCGGAGAAATGATCGATGTTGACCAGCATGTTGGCAGTCGTAACATCACACAGGAGCTAAAAATCGACCATAAAACTGTTTTAAACCATTTACAATTGACCAGAAACGGCCAGAATTGGTCATCAGGGCAACGCTAGGCCACACACATTTACAGTGACTCAGCAGAAACTTCTGGAGCTTGGTTGGGAAGTTTTAATGCATCCGCCATACAGTCCGGACTTGCCACCCAGCGATTATCATATTTTTCTTGTATTGCAAAGTTTCTTTAATGATGAGGATTGTGAAAATCGACTACTGGAGTTTTTTGCAAATAGAGAGCAGGACTTTTATGAGGGAGGCATTGTGAAGATACCTTTAAAATGACAAATCATGCAACAACTCACTCTTATAAAAATAACTCAAATCTTATAAAAAATATCGATTTATTTTTCCCCAACCTAATATTTTAAGAAATTTCAATTTATTGGGGACGATATTAAAAATTTAACCTATCAGACTTGGTGAAGTTTTTAATTATTTTCAGTTTGTGACATATATCTGTGACGGCAGGTTCATACATAATTTAAGTCTCTGTTGAGGTTCCATCGATTATGTCATCAATAAATCTATTTATTGGTACCTCAACGAATATATATCTTCATCAGAGAAGAACGGTCGCTAAGAAAGAAGAAGCAGAAAGATTAAATATTTTGCCGCAAAAACATGAATAATAGTTTTAAAAGGAATAAAACATGAATTCAGACGGTCAGCGTCTTTAAATTAAACAAGTGTTTTATTTTTACCAACTACAACCAGTTCCTAATTAGCAACACGTAAGCATAGTCTATATATTTGTTGTGCTGTCAAATATACATTTATTGTGTTTCATCTTTGTGCAACAAATACTCTCCGACTCTGAAGCTACTCTGTAGATTTAGAACCTCTACAAGTCCATACGCCTTTATCGGAACTTGTACAGTCTCCATTAAGCGTTTATATAAAATCGTTGGAGTAGTATTTATTTGCTGCATATTACACTAGACTACAGTTGTGTATGATATGGATGTAGGGCTATGGAATTACGTCAAGGGTAATGAACAATAATACATTTTAGATAGCACATAAAGATGAGCTATCAGATCATTCTCAAATTTATCAGTAACATTGATCTTGATACTATATTTGGCAAATTCGTAATGAACATTAGTTTGCGTTCATTAAATAAAATAATTAGAATTCCAAACCGATGTTAAATGATAATAATAAAAACACATTGTAGTAATCTAGATCAATTTACACTTATGCTTCAACTTTTGTCATTTGATATAGATAATGTCATTCATTAAGAACCCAGCATGCCCGTCCGTCTGTGCATGTAAAATTGTAAACGAAGTACAGGTCGCATTTATGATCCGATTTGGATGAAATTTGGCACAGGTCATTTGTTTGGCCAAGGACGAACCCCTTTGAAATATTGAAATATCGATTCAGATTTAGATATAGCTCCCATATATATTTTTATCCGATTTAATGTAAATGGTGCACCAAAGTCCCTATATTTCTCTCGATTTCCACGAAATTTTGCATAGCGTTTTGAATTTAGTCTATAATGATGTGTGTCAAGTTTCGTGAAAATCGTTAAGATTTTGATATAGCTCCCACATATATATTCGTCCGATTTAAAAGAAATGATGAACCAAAGTTCCTAAATATATTCCGATTTGCACGAAATTTGGCATAGTTTAGAGTCGTTTGAATAGAGTATAAAATGATGTCTGCTTAGCTACGTGCAAATCGGTTTCGATTTAGATATAGCTCCCATAATTATTTTCGTCCGATTTTTTGTAAATGATGCGCCAAAACCCCTATATATCTAACGATTTGCAAGCAATTTGGCATAGCGTACTGAACTGAGTCTAGAATGATATGTGGTAAATTTCGTAAAATCGGTTCAGATTTAGATATACCTCCCATATATATTTTCCTCCGATATTACAATTTTGTACAATATACTAAAGTTAATATAAATTAATATCTGGCAAGTTTCGTTGAAATCGGTTCAGATTTAGATATAGCTCTCATATATATTTTCGTTTGATTGTAGGCAAATGGTGCATCTAGTGACACGAAATTTTGCACAACGTATTAAATTGAGACAGATGCATTTGGAAAAGTGCGGCGTACCGAATAGCGTGTATCAAGCTTGCTCTAAATTGATTTGCACAAATGTCTCCCCTTGTACGCAAACGACGTTAAACTTGCCCAAATGAAATGAAATTTAGCATAGGTTAATAGAATTTAGAAAGGAATAAATATCACATATTCAAGTTCACCTCAATGTTCTTTCGAAAAGGCGACGTCTGTTAGGAGGAAATACAAAATCAAAGAAAATGCACAATTGCACCAAATATTCATCAATTTAGGAAAAAAATATTAAAAATGTCTACAGTAAATTTCACTTAAATTGTGAAAGCCCATAATAAATCGCAAGGTATGAAAACGAAGGGTATGAGTCCAAACAGCATATCGAGCATTCGAATGATTAGAAACAATGCCACCTTCCGCCAGACCAAACGCACACTTTACAGGACGCTGATACTACTCGTGCTGTTATATAGATCAGAAGCATGGGTATTTGCACAAGCAGATGAAGCAACTCGTGGGGTGTTTGAAAAATTCTTCGAAAGACCTACGGGCCGATCTGCGTCGACGATGAATATCGGCGTCGAATGAACCACGAGCTTTACAATCTATGCGCGGACATCGACATAGTCGGTCGTATTGAGCTGCAGCGACTACGGTGGCTAGGCCATGTTAAGCGAATGAATGAGAATGTCAAAGCTTGAAAGGCATATACAAAACGAGCCTATTGATGGTTCACACAGAAGGGGAAGGCCACGAATTAGATTGAAAGATCAAGTAGAATACAACATATCGGAACATATTCATTCAAATTGGAGGAGATGCGCACAAGACCGACGCGCTTGGGAATCTTTTTTAAGCTCGGCTTATGGAACAACCGTTCTGTAAGAAGCCAGCTAAGTAAGCAAGTAATTCCATTTAAATGGTCTTCCAAAGATGATATATCTCTTCTATCTACAGTATATTGTACACATTATCATCTCTTGTACCTATAGTGGTGAAGGGTATCATATAGTCGGCTCCGTCCAACTTTTGATATTTCCTTACTAGTTTATATAATTAATTTGTATTAATAAATTTAACTATATGTCGGTTCTTGAAAAATAATTTGTTTACCAAAAATATTCATAGCACGTTTTTTGAATGTTCATTATTACTTTTACAAAGCCTTGAAAAATATTCCATTTAGGATTTCCGAAAGATATCAACCCTCATTACCAAATTTTAATATGGAAATTTCTTTTTAAATTACTACAATAAATTTAAGAGATGCGTCAGAGCTTTTTCATATATATATATTAAAAAGTTAATGTCGGTTTTAAATTATTTTTGAAATACAATTAAAATCGTCATAAAGCCGACTAAATTGTAAGCATACAATATACACTAGAACCACTATAATACTCGTTCTAACTAAACTATCCGTTTAAATCTGCAATACGATTATACAATTATAGTGTATTTATAGAAGTTCAAAATAAAATAATACATAACTTACCTCCTTTTCCGTTATTTTAAAAGAACTGCTGACCATTTTGTTATTGTTTTTATTAAACTTTTAGTATTTCCAAGAAAAGTTTTTCAATAAATATTTTGGAATGACGGTTTTTTTCAATACACATACATTTAACAAAGAAAACTAATTCCGATGTGTTTTATTAATGCATATCTATAAAAAGCACATTCATGACATTTTAACAAAAACAAAAAATATATATGGCAAATAAATTGAATTCAAAAGAAAAGTATTGAAAATAGGTTGATATTAAAAATTCCCCTATTAAATTTTTCGCATTTAGTAATAATTACTATTTACATAACACATGCACACCCCCACGCACGCCGTTGCAAATTTTCCTGTTCTCTAATTAAAATACAGAATTGAAAATGCAGCAAATATTGACAACCTTAGACAAAGTAGTCATCAAAATCGAAATGAGAGAATCGACCTGACACTTAACCAAACACTTCAATAAATGCAATTTGAAAGCCAAGCAAAAAAAGTGAATAACTACAGCAACAAAATTTGCATTGACAATTGTTGGGTTGGCTGCTCCGAAGACGTGAGTTGAAATGTTAATTAATGCGAGACAGTCAGTAGTATTCTGGTACTCTATATCGGAGGGGTAGCAGCAGAGGAAGCAATTTTGGTATAAAGGCTGTCTGTCAAGAATATGGCTAAATATGTACTGGCATGTGTTGCATACTGTGGCTAATAATGGAATATATGTATGTATGTGAATTTATTAAGTAGAACAAGTAAAGCGTTTTGAAAGACTATTTTACCGCTCAAAGTAGATATTGGTGATTTTTTAAAAATTTCAGTTTGTTGGTTGTTGGTTTTTGGTATTTGTAACTAATAAAAAATTGCTTTGTGTATTTATTTGTATTTTTTTAAAAACTAATATACGTTTTCCAAATATGCAAAAAATATTAAACAAAAGTTAAAAGGTGATTTTTTAAAAATTTCTGGTTGATTTTGTTTTTTGGAATTTGTAACTATTAACAAATTGCTTTGTGTATTTATTTATATTTTTTAAAAACTGCAATTGGCACGTGTGGCGTAGGGGATGATAGATACCAAGCAACGGCTCTGATTGGCTTTAACATGGCGAAGTCCAGGCTTATCTTGGTCCCTCTTTCATTTCAATTGTGAACACTGACCTCCCCGCGGTGTCACCTGCGGTAGCTATTTTCATCACCCGTTGCGGCTTCAGACCTGGCGAATCCACCATTGACCAGATTTTCACTCTGCGCCAAATCCTGAAAAAAAACGACTATAAAGCCGCATTCGACAGCCCTATACGGTCAGAGGTGTTTAAAGCCATGTCTACGTTCAACATTCCTGCAAAATTAATTCGGCTATGCCGGATAACTTTAAGTGGCACAAGGTCAGCAGTTAAAGTCGGAAAGAGCCTATCGGAGCCCTTCAATACTGAACGAGGATTCAGACAAGGTGACAGTTTCTCGTGTGATCTTTTTAACATCCCGCTGGAAAATGTGAATAGAAATGGCACCCTGCCTACGCCGATGACATCGATATAATGGGTCGAACATTGCGAGCGGTAACAGCCGCCTTTGAACAATTTGAGAAGGAGTCTGCCAAAGTGGGCCTGGCAGTTAACGGCGAGAAGAGCAAGCTGATGGTATCAACGCGCAAGACGTCCAGTAGACTCGGACCAACTGTGGAACTTGAGAACTACAGCTTCAATGTAGTTAAAGATTTTATATACCTTGATGCCGCCATAAATAAAAGGAATGACATCACTTTTGGAATTCGGAGAAGGATTGTGATGGCCAACTGATGCTACTATGGTCTAAGTAAACAGTTTAGAAACAAGGCCACCTACCGTCGGACCAAACTCACACTATACAGGAAGCTGATACTACCCCTGCTGTTATATGGATCTGAAGCAAATTTCTCCGAAAGAATATCGGCGTCGAATGAACCACGAGCTTTACAATTTATACGCGGACATCGACATAGTCAGCGGACATTGACATACTGATGGTACCTGTATAAGGGGAAGGCCTATAAAAGTGAGCCACGAATGAGGTGGAAAGACCAAGTGGAAAACAACATCTTGGAACGTGGTATTTCAAATTGGAGGAGATGCGCACCAGACCGACACGCTTTTTAAGCTCGACTTATGGAACAACCGTTCTGTAACAAGCCAGATAAGTATGTAAGGACTGCCACAAGGCGTGGATTTAAAAAAAAAATTATGGACTAATACAAGTCGTGGATTTTTTAAAAATATTTCTTCAAGGACTAACACAAGGCGTGTATTTTTAAAAAATATATATTTCTTTAAGGACTAACACAAGGCGTGTATTTTTAAAATATATTTTTAAGTACTAACACACGGCGTGGATTAAAAAAAAAATATTTTTTAAGAACTACCACAAGGCTTGTAAGGCAATCTTATGGTAAAAATATAAAAAAAAACTCTCCACCATCGACGCTTAAACCAAGTTTATTTAAATTTATTTAGATATCACACATTTTTGTGATCTTAAATTCTCCTTGCCCAACAAACACATTTTCTTCTATGAGCCACGGTATGCAATACGACACACATGTGTTATATACAACAAAACACAACAATTGTGACTATGTAAATATTTATGTATGTCGTCGCCGATGTGTTTGCTGTGTTATTGAACAGAACAGTTAAAATAATTAAAATTCTATTCCCATTATTTTTCGTTTTTGTTAAATAGACAGGTATTTACTCGCATATATGTATGTCATAACAACAAAAGAACACAACTAAATTCGGGCACAAATTTTGAGGGTCATTTTCGTGGAGTGCGTGATTTTCTTATGAAAATATTATCACCTCGGTAAATGCAAGAACAAAACGAAATTGCCCAAACTAAAAACTTAATTTGCTACAAAATGCCAACAATAATTCTTCTTTTTAATCATCAACTTCATGAAATGACATTAAACACGAGTCACTTGCACTTTTTCGAACTTCACAAAAACAGACACCGTTTCTTTTTTCTGTTTTCTTCTTCTTGTCGCCAACAACAATAAAGTACTATTGACACTGAATACTGACCACGGACTGCAACAATGACCGATTGACCGACCGATCGTCCGATCGAAGCAACAAACAAATTTGAACGAACGTCTGTTCTGGGCAACTGTTGTTGCACAAATAAAGCATCGTTTACACAGGTTACAAGTGTTATTGTTGGGCGATGTGATGATGGCGATGTTGACGACGGCGGCTGCTGCTGCTACCGCCCGGCTGACAAGTGTAATGTGCGGTTATTACAAGAGCAAATAATGCATCAATCTCTTTCTCAGCTTCTGTGTGTGTGTTATGTCAACGAACGACTTAAAGCATCCAACAAAAATCCAAAACAAAAACCAAGCTGTAATACCAAAAATCACACAAACACACACTAATCTCTTGACTGTTCGTCCAATACAATTGTTGTTGTTGGTTTTGTTGCTGACTTAACCGTCCGTCACTCAAAGTTTCTGAGCTTCATTTTTGTCTGAGTTGGGGTTTTTGTTGTTATTGCTGCTGCTGCTGCCGCCTCTGCTGCTGGCATTGAATTTGTTACGAAAAAATGCATTGCATTGCAATTTGCCTCTCTCCACTGTTTTGTTTTTGGTGGATTTCTTCGACGATCACTGAAGAAAACGTTTGAGAGAAATATTTTATACTCTCTAATTACTTTGTTTCTTATTAGGGTACTGCTGCTGTTCTCATAAATTATTTAATTATTGTTTGAGAATGTATTACCTGAGAATAATTAAAATACGAGGGTGGATTCATAATGTAACACAAAATTACTTTTTATGGGATCCAATATATGGTATGAGCTTAACTAAATTGTCAAAAAGATAAAAAATAGTATACTTGCTGAACATTTTATTTATTTGGTTTTGTTTCAGCATCGGATCCAGTTTACTATTGAGAAGACAATTTATTTGATTTGACTATTTTATTTGCATTTAAATGATATGTATATAAAATTTATTGGAAATAGATCCGGCTAATAAATCCCCATTTAAAAAAAGTAAAAGTAATAACGATGTGCGTTCGGCCCGGCCGAACTTTTTATACCCACCACCATGAGGGAGACAATAAAATCATGTAAAATTAATGGAGGCTCCTAGGAGAAAACTCATGTTATGATAGGACCTTGAACATACCGAAAAATGTGTGAGAAAAATATAATTGAATTTTTCAAAATATCTCATAGTGGGGCATATCCCCGGTGATCAATATTGATATTTTTGGTAGTGAGATTTGACAGCCAATTAGAATAAAAAAATATCAACTACAGCCAATTTCTTTGAAAAAACGCCTCCAAAATTGTCAAAATACCAAATTGGGTCAATTTTTAATGCGGAGACGAGGTGATAACGCTGTGAGAATCCAAAATACCAATTTACAATCAATTTGATTGACCCCATATTGGGGGGATCCATATTATGTGGGCAACCGTTTAAGGTGATACCGCTATGAGAAACAAAAATACAAAATTATATCTAATTTGGTTTGAAAACCTGTCCAAAATCTTCAAATTACCGAGTATTGGGGAGTACCGTTATATGGGGGCTAACCTGAAATTTGTTATTAAATGAGAATCCAAAATACTATGTTAAAGCCAGTTCGGTTGGTAAATGCGTTCAAAATACCAAATATTCGTTTACATAGGTACCCTGGTCAATGCGCAAAATTACAGCCAATTCGGTTGGGAAATCTGACTAAAATCCCCAAAATGTTGAGTATTGTGGAGTACCGTTATATGGAGGCTACCCTGAAGCTGTGCTGTACAATGAGAATACAAGTTAAAGCCAATTCGGTTAAAACGCTTCCAAAATAACAAATATTAGGGAGTACCGTTATATGGGGGCTACGCCAAACGTGCTAAATTTCAGAGGTCCATCTTGAACCAGTAAGGGTTGTTCAAAAGTCGGACGGGGCCGACTATATGATACCCTTCACCACTTTGGATACACACAAGAGTTGTTAAAATATACAATATCCTGTAGATAAAACAGAC